TTGAAACACCTATGTTTTTTGAAGATTTCGCAAGAGCTCGCGCGTAAGATTATTTAGCAAATCAGTGCTGCGAGCCCCTGTGTTTTGGTATGTTTTTGGGAACCCATTTTTTTTTTTTTTTTTCTTTTTCTTCTTCTTCGTGTTCTCAAGGGAGTCGTACAACATTGTTATGTTAGAACAAAAGATGTCCCCGCGTATGTTTCTTTACAAGGGAACCTCAAGGGGAGCGATGCCGGCCCCCAGGGGATAGTGTAGATTCATTTTTAGGATGGACATGTGGTCAGAATCGTATATGATTTACATACCCGAAAGGGTGGGGGATAACGCTGGGGGGGGTGGAGTCTTCTCTTTATAGAAAAGAGAAGTAGCTTCTGTTGGGAATGAGTTGTACACTCCACTGATCGCGCAAACATCCCACCCACCCACCCGCAACTTGGTTTGCAACATTTCTTAAGACTGTGACGGTGGGTACTGAATGGCTCTTTGCAACGACAGCGACGCCGACGACAACAGCGACAACGACGACGACGACGCCGCCAACAACGACTACGATGACACCGACGACGTCTCCAACGACTTCGACGACGCCGACGCCGACGACGACGACGACACCGACGACGACGACGCCGACGCCGACGACGACGACGACGATGACAACGACGACGACGATGACGACGCCGACGACGACGACAACGACGACGACGACGACGGCGACAACGACGACAACGACGAGGGAGGAGGGAGGACGACGACGACGACGCGAACGACGAGGAAGGAGGAAGGACGGCGACGCCGACGACGACAACGACGAGGGAGGAGGGAAGACGACGACAACGACGACGACGACGACGGCGACGAAATAGGAGGGAAGACGACGAGACGCCGACGACGGATGACGACGACGACGAAGGAGGAGGAGGAAGGACGACCACGGCGACAACGACGACGGAAACGACTACGACGCCAGAGCGGACCACGACGACGACGAGCACGAGGACAGACAGAGGACGACGTAGGCGACGACGACGACGACGCGGGAGGAGGGAGGACGGCGACGACGACGACGACGACGACGCAAGAGCGCGCGCGCACGCTTTTGTTGAAAATCCATGTTGCAAAACCTTGTGTTATTGTAGGTTTTTGACAAACGGTTTTGAAATCCTTCCGAAACCGACGGGTTTTGAAGGATTTCTGCATACGCGCGCGACGACGCGCGCGTCTGCACTTCGTCGCGTTCTTTGCCGAGGAGTCTCGCGACGGCACACGCGCAAGGGAATTCGACAGATTTCGACATGCGCGCGCGCGAAGCCCGTTTGGTAGCATTTTGTGAAAATCTTGAAACACCTATGGTTTTCTGAAGATTTCGCAAGAGCTCGCGCGGAAGCTTTTTTAGCAAATCAGTGCTGCGAACCCCTGTGTTTTTGTATGTTTTTGGGGATCTCGATTGCGAAACCTTTCCGACACCGAAGGTTTTTGAAGGATTCCGGCATGCGCGCGCGACGACGCGCGCGTGTGCACTTCGTCCCGTTTTTTGCAAGGGATTCGTGAAGAAGTGTTATGTTAGAACAAAAGATGTCTCCGCGTATGCTTCTTTACAAGGGAACCTCAGGGGTAGCGATACCGCCCCCCCTGCCTGGGATAGTGTAGATTCATATTCAGGATAGACATGTGGTCAACATCATATATGATTTACATACCCGAGAGGGGGGAATAACTCCGGGGGGGGGTAGAGCTTATTTTTCCTAGAGAGGAGAATTTATGTGGGCGGCGACGAGGCGGCGACAGCGCGGCGACGGCGGCAACATAGCCGCCAGACGGGCGGACAGGCCCGGACGACGGGCGGCGACGAGGCGGCGGCGGGGCGGCGACGGGGCGGCGACGGCGGCAACATATCCGCCAGCTTGGCAGACAGGCCCAGACGACGGGCGGCGACGAAGCGGCGACCGGGCGCCGACGGCTGCAGCATAGCCGCCATTGGCAGACAGGCCCAGTTCCGTAGAACAGGAAAACGAACCCTTAATTGCAAACACCGTTTGGGGAACAGCGAGTGTTTCGCTAAGTCATCCCCGCCGTTCGCCACACATGGAGCATGCGAGACTGCATGTCCGCTCTAGTAATCCCTAACCATCCTGTGGTGTTGGGTCCTCGTTTTGGAGAAACGGCGCCCCGCGTTCTCGTCCTCCCGCCTCCTTCCTCCCCATCCGTCCTCCTGCTCCTGTCCCTCCATCCTCCATCCTCATCATCACCATCATCATCACCACCATCATCATCCCGTGCGTCCGTGCCATCCATGTCGGCACACCCCCCACACCTTTCGTGGCCGCATGGGAGCCTGCACCAAAGGTCTCAGTGGCAGGGTTCGCGTGGCACCGCCGTCTCCATTCCGGCACACCCCTCATACGGTTCGTGGCCCCATAGGGAGCTCCACCGAAGGTCCCAGTGGCAAGGTTTACATGCGCCCCCGCGACTAATTTCGTTTCATAGGGAGCTCCACCGAAGGCCCCAGTCATAGGGTTTACATGCGTCCCCGCGACTCATGGCGTCACACCCCTCACACGGTTCGTGGCCTTGTGGTGAGCTCCACCGAAGGTCTCAGTAACAGGGT